TTAAGAAATGAATGTGTGATGTAATAGTAAAATTGAAGGTTATAATTGTGATTATCTCATAACTAGTTAATTAAAACTGAATTTGAATTCAAATTTAGTCTGCCCCATAAAAAATGATCATGTATAATCAATCATTAAGCTGTTGACCCTCCATCATGATAATGAGATTTGCTTTAATTTCTAGAGACATGTTTTGTTTTATATGTAGTTTTCTGTCCTTAGCAATAAGGTGATAGGTTGTTCAAATCTGGCGCATTTAGCTCTTTACTTGAAAGAATTACAACGAATTACTGAGACAAATGCACAACACAATTGAAAAACTATCCACATTAGTGTGACTAAAATTTACAGCTCATGCGAAGTTCAATAACTTTCACATATAGCCACCATTTATAATGTTACTCCTTGCATAAAAATAGCTAGAAGTGGCTACATGTTAGCAATGATATACTGTTCTTATCTAATCATTTGCAATTTACTTTATGCTAAGAACATTTAGTAGCTTTATTGTTAATCTGTAGCTAAATTTATCTCTACTATTGATTAACCACGAATTCGCTAGCTATTAAATTACGTAGTACCTAAGAGTGTAAACAAACTGAGCGTGCTCGAGCTCATGATACTCGAGCCTTTAACGAGTCAAGCTAACTAAATGAGTTGATATTCAAGCTTGAATTAGGCTCGTTTATCAATATTAAGAGTCAAACTCGAGCCAGAACGAACCAAATTATAAAGAATCATATAAAAAGTTTATTTACAAGTCTTAACAAGCTTTAATGATCCAAGTTGAGTACTGTTTGTTAAGTAAACGAGATCGAGCTCAGACACGCAAAGCCAAATTCAGCTAACCGAAATGGGTCATTTTGTTTACCATCTCTAGTATACCTAATTTCAAAGTTCCTTGCGGGGACATTTTTTTTTTTTAAACCACGGACTGAATTTCATATCATGTTTCTTTATAAATATTTAGTGGTTGTGTATAAAACAAATTACATCGTTCTCAACAAATTTATAAAGTCGAAGAGATGTTGATATTTGCGGCCTTGGTTTTGTCCATGTATATATAAAATTAAATGTGACATTGTAAAAATTGAGTTTGAGGGGTCACTTGCCCCTACTACTCAAATAGTGATATTTTTTTGTTCAATAAATTTGAAAGCACCTTCTCCTTAGAAATATGCCCAGTCCCCCACACCATTTCTTTAATCCTAACTTCATGTGTTACATATTTATATTATTGACTTAGGGGTGATAATAGTCGTCATGATAAATGTATCAAACAATTGCGTTTCATCTTCTGTTATATCATATGAATAATTGATATGCGAACAAAAATTACCTTGTACACAAAATAAACCAGGTTATAGAAAGCTATTCAAAATATATATCTACTTTAAACTGGGATTGAATTCATAAACATAAATCACAAAAGTCAGTCAATATTCTACGAGTAAAACGCACGAGCAATGAATACATGTACAACATACACAGATTGAGTGCCCCTTACTGTGTATTATATAACTTTTTGAGTAAATTGTAATTTTAGTCCTGTATGTTTTATTTTTTTAACTTTTTCGTCCTCTTTGAATTGCGTTTTTTATTTTCGTCTTGTATGCAAAAAGGTTACAATAAGGTCCTTTTAATACATAAGGGATGAAATTGGAATATTTTTTTTTTTGCAAAACATAAATGACCTTTTTGTTGCGAAAATGACCTTTTTGTAACCTTTTTGCAAACATACGTGACGAAAATAAAAAAACGCAATTCAAATAGGACGAAAAAGTTAGAGTAGTGAAACATACATGACTAAAATTTCATTTTACTTAACTTTTTGATTGTGCATAAATAATGATTATTTTTCAATATGTATCAAACTCACATAACTTTCTTTAACCACTCCACCACACCACTTAGGATTTATAATAGTAAATTAATTCACACTTAAATGGTGACCATTTATGTCTCAAGTTCGAATTTTTCATCCCTATCTGCACTACTTAATCCAACATGTCATACATGATTTATCTAGTGCAGATTATCCGGATAACATGCTTTAAGTGTTTATGGGTCTGCACATTAAAAGGCAAAATTAATTAATAAAAATTATAAAAAAATCAATTTAAGAACAATATACACAACGGTAAGACTACTGGTTAGACATGTCAAAGAATCAGACAATCATATTTTTTCAACAGATTTAAAAACTTTGAACCTGAAAATGACATACTCTAACAAAACTATATAAACAAAAATATGACATTACCTATAATACGTATTCATTTTGTTAGAAGTTATAATGTGTCGACACATTAGATAGATATCGAAAAGCATTGACATTTCCTTTCACCAAATAGAGTAAGTGTGAATTTAAACCCAACATTTACTTGTGCAATATGAAAATGGGGCCAATTACAAGGGGACCTTCATTGAAATCATGGATGTTAGGAGAGCTGTCATGACTTGTGGGCAATCATCAAACATGGACTGTTTTTGATGAGTCATTCAAGTTTCGGGTCGGGCCAATTCTACACGTACGTTGTTAGACTTATAAGACACACATTTGGGAGGCATTTTGTGGCTTTCCCAAATTTTATTTATTTATTTTTTTTTATTTATTTATTTTTTTTTTTTTTTGTATTTTTATTTTTCTTGGTTAAGAGTGTGGTGGGTGGTCGAGATGCCACGATCTTCAGTCATTTCATTGACGGGATATCACACACGACGGATTTTTCCTTCATAATTCAAGACTTTACATTTTTTTGTTTTATTATTATTTGATTGTTATTAAATGCATAAATTGACCGTAACGCGTTGAATTTTATAAGTTGATATTCAATGTGTAACTGATCTTTTGGGGGTTCTAGTACGGAGACGTGTGATAGTAATATAAGTAATTAATTTTGTTTTTATATTTACACCTGTACAAAAATATTGTAGTTAATTACCTCTCTCAGAGTTTATCAAATAGCTTTGATTTATTTTCTACTGAAAATTCCTCTTTCTCCAATACTTATATACTTACGTACGTTCGCTGCCATGTACACGCTTTTGTGATTTTAACAATTTCATATTCAACATTTCAGCTTCTACAAAAAGACATTAGTACATGTTAAATATTCATGATATGTATTGAAAAATATATATTAATGTCACTTTTTGAACAGACATATTTTTAACTAAAATTTAACTCAAATTTTAGT